CCGCTTATTAAGCCCAACTTGGTCTGGGCCCGAGGTGGGCTTAATAGCCGGCAACTACTGTACATCACAAAGGGCAGAAATAGTAATCTCTATCAAAATCAATGATAAAAACACATACTAATTAAGTAGTCACTTTTTACAGCATACACGTTTTTTTAGCGGTCAGAAATAAGTTCGTTAAAAAGCTGACGTCCTATCGTGACTGAAATAACTTCAGAATAGTCTACACGATAATCAGTATCGCAACCCGAGTCAATGCCGATTAGGGAAAGAGTATCAATCTTTCGCATATATCGGCATGTTGCACGAATCCGGCGCGTACTGTATATTTCCTCAGTCTTTACGCCAATGGTCAAAACTGACGATAGCTAAGGTAGGCAGTATAGAATTCTGATTTTTGAAAAAAACTTCTAAACAGAGCTGTGCTGTTTTTTGTAGGCAGACAACTTATTTACCTGGGTGACCACATTCTTCCAGTCCGTAATGAGTGGTACACGTTGTTTACGTGAATCGGTGTAAGATGTGAGACTGAAGACCGCGCCGGCACCCCAGACATCCAATTCCTGTAGGGCCTCACGAACGAGGACCTCCGCTTGCGCCCGTTGAATGAGGTTTTTCAGATTGTCCGCCTGCGCCATGACTGCAGGCGCAACAGAGAGGATGTCCCCGAAGGTGAGATGCTCTATTAACATCGTGCGAGGCAGACCCACGAGACGGAAGAGTTCTATCCAATGGTCAGCCGACAGCGCCTCACCTCGCACCCACTTTAGGGCTGGTACTAGTTCCTAATGTGCATACAAAGACAACCCACCTTCACTAATAAAGGCTCAAAAAAGTCACAGGAAACTGAATAACAAAAAAAAAAAACAGGCGCTGGTATATAATGGTAAAGGTAGAAAGGGCAGCAAATATCGGAGTGATAAATAGAAGGTTAGTATTACGGGCGGGTGGGAGCTAAAAAACCAAACGTTTTCCCACTTTCTTACGGTAACCGTCGGATAATTGCTGAAACTTAAGGCGTTATGGCTAACGGGGGTCTGATGAATGTGGTCGAAATCGAGTATTTTTGTGGTTTTTAAAGTGTTATTAGTTAGGGCGATACGAGCCCCTTACTGGGGAATCACAACGGCACAATACATCCAGTATTTGAATGCAAATCGTCAGGTCATCAGGTTACGTCTTCAACTTCCGGTCAGTATGAAAGGAAATCTTAAGTAATCTACTACGGAACTGCGATGTCAAGGGAACTCTTTAAACACTGTGTAATTTCATATACGCATTTTTACCTCCACGTCAAACCCCTTAAGATCCGTGTGTAGTACACTCCAGTCCATCTCAAAAGCCTCCTTTTGAATAACAAAAATTCCTCAGTTTCCCCTGCGTGTAATAAAAGGCCAACCTATCGTACGAAACATAAACCTACGGGCAGATTGATTTGCTGCGTGTCTACCGTGCCTACCGTTGTTGCCGGCAATACTGTCTGCCTACTTCCAGCTATTACAGCCGTCAGGGCCTTTCTCGAGCCCCAAGACAGAACGGGGCAGATGCGTTCCGTTATTGGTCGGGTGAACGTTTATCAATGAGTGTCAATATCCCCTGACCTAAGCCGCCGAGACAACCAGCTCGTGGCTCAATGGTTAGGGCGTTTGACTCTGATCAAAAGGTCGCAAGTTCGAGGCTCGAGAGGGGCACCACTTGGGTCTGAGTATGACTGGCTGACGACGGCAGATAAGCCAAAAAGGGTCATTCCAGTCTCGCTTGTCTTTGCCGGCAATACTATCTGCCTACGTCTCGTTATATTGCCTTTCATACCTGAAACTGAACATATTTGTAAGGTATTTATGAAATGGGAGACCACGAGAAGTGTTATCAGTGGTTGCATCTTGTGGCTTCGTGATAATCCTAAAATTTTAATTTATTTTTCACAAGAAAAAGAAGCAACATTCAAAGCCAAAACGAGGCCCCAATGTCGAAACCCTCAAAATAGTGTTCTCTGGAACGAAGAAACAAGCTCTACTATTTCACTTCTAAAAAGGCATTTTCATCAGGGCCTTGCTACATCAGACTAATGCATTGTAAGACAGAGGATGAGAAAAACTGCGTTTCAGTGACAGTTTATATGCGTAGCTTTCCAAACAAATTCCTGCACAAGCGCTACGCTGGAGACAGCAACAAAGCCCGAAGCTTTACCCTTTATTAGAA